CACATTTCTTTTGTTTGTGAGTTTTCGTTTACATTTTTTTGGTATTTTTTACATGAAGTTGACTATAAAAGAGAAAAAACAGAACAATATGTAATCATCTGCTGAAAGTGAAGCTAATTACAATTATTGCATCACCTGTCATTCTCCATGGTTTTTCTTATCATGGGCAACTTCTTAATATAATTATTATGATATATATATACAATTGTATTACCTGTCTGGAAACTTCAGTTATATGTAGTGACATATAACAAAAGTCACTGATATATTAAAAAGCAACCAGAATAAAGCTCCATTCTGCATCCTGTGTAGGTTCATTATTACCTTTCAGGAGGAAAGGATATGTGTAAAAATTTAGGTGAAAGAACAACTTTCCTTCATGACCTGCACACACTTTGTCCATTCTAATACACTGTGTTCACAACTTGGTTTTTTCCACAAAACTATAAGAATTAAAACTTAGGAAGCAGAAGTCTGAAAATCTCCCACCCCATCAAATATTTTAGTCATAATATTTGTTATTCTTTGCAACTAATAGTGTAAACTATGAATTTCAATTCAGTGGCTTGACATTCCAGGTTTATTGAAATTTTGTAAGATATGTCTCAAATGCATTATACAGCTGTTTGTTTTATGTTAAGTAAGCTGAAATAAAAATAAATACCCTTGAGAAATGAAAAATAAAGAAATGACAGTAGTTAAAAATATGACAGAGCCTAGATTTTGAATCTTATAATAAATTAGTACCAAATTTTATAAGGTAGTGTAAATATTTCATCAGAATTCCCATTGACTCATTGCTTTTCCCATGAATCTTGATAGTTCTTGTACATGGAGTCATTCTCTGAAGGGTGTATAGAACAGTACCTGGCCATGTGCAACCCACTGTTTACAGCATTTTGTGTAAAATCATTTCCATTGCTCATAGAAGGTAAATACATGAAACAAAGACAATTATGGGCAGACCTCTGCCGTTATGCAGCTGTATTATACTGTTCCTGAAAGTCACGTTACAAATTTTGTGTTGCTTAACACCTTGAGATATTTAAATAACATCCCTCATATACTATTAGGTCCAAAAGTGTACAACTACATGGAAAAGATGAAGTTAAACTCATTATTAATATACAGTGGGTTAGCTGTAAGGTAACCTAATTAGAATGCAAGAGGTGGGGGGGTTACTGTCCCTGCTACATCTTCATGTAAGCCATTTAGTAAAATTTTACTGTTTGCCTTTGAATATTCAGGATATAAGAGTAATTTCTTTTTTAATACTTTTAATTGTTATTATTAATATTTGGTATTTTTTCTTTTATTTGGGAAATTTTGAATTTTTTAATTCAGAGGGGCCGATGCTTGGCATGCCCCCCTTGCTGGCATCGGTGAGAAAAGAGTGTATATGTTATTCCAAAATTTAAGTGCCTTACTAAAACCATGAAGACCACAGGAAAGCTAGGAAATGATTGAACTGCAAGAAGTTCCATAAAATTGAGCCATTAAGTATGTCTAAACTTTGCATATTGAAATCTTGACTGTTTACAGCTAGAACTATTTAAACTTCATATTCTTCTCTTAAAAATATTATAAATATATACCAGGATGTGCCTACCATAACATAAAAGATACAAATATGATGTTTAAGGTTTTCATGGCAGTGAAGATTTATATTTCTGCTGCACTATGACTTATATGGTCTGATAGGCAGCTGCCAACATTTTGTAGAAATACACTGCCACCATATTCAGTGTGTATTAAACCCATGGGACCATAGTGCAAAAGATTTATGTAGAGTTTTCTGTCCACAGTTTGAGACTTAATTTCCAGTTCAAGACTTAGTTTTTCATAAGATAAAAATTTTCTGACATGTGGCAGATCCATTATCACAACAGCCAATGGTTATTTTAATTTATTTGCATAATCAAGGCTCATTCTGGCACGGTTTCAAGCAGTACAGAGTTTCCAAGCCTTAAATACACATAACGTGCATCTTCTTAATAGAGAGACAATGTTGTACACTGCAGTAACACAAAGATCTTGACTGATTTCATTGGTTAAACTGAGGCCATGGAAAGAAGTCACATGAATCAACACCATCCAAGTCTCCTTTGAGCTTTTACACTTCCCTCTCCAGTGTACTTCCATATAACCACCTCCAGTTGTCTAGCCACTCGGGACACACAAATTGCTGGTAGTGATAACCATGGTTAGTGAAAAATACTTTGGGTTTGAGGTACATCAAGGGAGGCTGGGGTGGGGATACAGTGTCAGGCATATGAGAGCCTTCAGAACTGCCATCTCTGCCATCCATAGACTTCTTTTGTGACCTCAGTATAATAGAGTACAGTAAACTCTCCTTAATCTGGTTACAGTTAATCCAGATCAAAATATATGAAAAATGAAGAATTCTGTTCACAGTTGAGTAAACACTTTAAAAAGACACATGGGACTTAGGAGCAAGAGTGATTAGAGCAAGAGAAATTTCAGACTGTATTGAGGGCAGTTGGAGAGACTGAAACCACGCAAGGCGGTGTGAGTACAGGAGCAAGAGGGATTAGAGCAAGAGAAATTTAAGACTGTGCTGAGGGCAGCTGGAGAGACTGAAAACCACACAAGGCGACTTGAGCTGGATGTAGGAGCCCCTAGAGTTCTGCTTCTGAGAGTGGAAGGGATAGCTGCAATGATATTTATTTTATTTGTTTTCATCAGTACTACCTATATTATTACATTTGCCATTTATTTGTTTTCTAATTATTTTTCTTTTAGGACTATCTTTAGCTTCATTATCTGGATTATAGCTTAATCTGGATGATCTCTCCTCCACCAAATTAATTGGATTAGTGAGGGTTTACTGTACATAATTTTATTCTATCAAAATTGTATAATGCTTCAACTGCAAATTATAAATCACTCCGTCCAATGTGACCTGTAAGTTTTTTACTACATAAAACTTAACACCCTTACATGTGTACATACTTTGCGTGTAAACAAATTATGTGAAGTGGTTTCCTATTTGCAGTGATGTTTGCCCTCTGAAGATGGTCCACAGAGACCGAAACATGTAAGGGTGTTAAGTTTTTATGTAGTAAAAAACTTACAGGTCACATTGGACGGAGTGATTTATAATTTGTAATTGTTATTGTGACGGACCAGAATGAAACAAATCAAACGCTTCAACTGCATTCCAGTTAGTTTGTCATTGCCTGTGTAAATTGTGGAGATCAACTCAAAGTTCAACCTTAATGCATGTTGGCTGAAACAGCTTTTGTTTCATGAATGGTGCAAGTTATCATTAAAGCATACATTTATGGCGTTCCGTGAGGACATAAAGACACCAATCTGTGGGGTTGCAAAAAGCCCTTTCTTTGTGACAAAAACACTCAAAACTGAATTCAGGTGCTTAAATAGATGTGTTTAGTTCAAATATTTTGATAAACAGCACAGAGTGACGTAAACTGCCAAGCTGAGTCTGTCTGTCCACACATGCTTAGTTACAGAGTGTCAGCCATCCCACAATTTGGTTCCAGTTAAAACTGTGATGCAAACATTGTATCTACTCAGAGGTTGATTTAATGACACCTTATCAACTGCATAGCATATACAGTATTGATTTAATTGATGCTGAAGGAAGAAGCAGTGGACTGTTTTAAAGTTCTGAAGAAAACCATGAAATATCTCAGTCAGGCAGCCAACCTCTGGGCCAAGAGTCTAACTAGGGATGTGATCTGAACCAAGCATCTCCCACATAAAATATCTTGAGCATCATTGTTGCAACAAGCTGTTCAGTGACATAATTTATGAATATACCAAAAGAAACATAAAAGTAAATTCTATTTGATCAAGGAATGCCATCCTGAACTCTGGTCAGCAATCTCAAGATGTTTAAACATGCATTAAAAATGACACAGAGTGGGCCAAATTAGACTCTCTTGCACAAAGTTCCAGACACAGTAACTGAAAATACCAAATAAGTGCAGGTTTACTGCACAGCACAAAAATTTACATTTCAAACAATATTTGGATTCATATTTGTTTGATTCTTTATGATTAAAATTCTCAATAACAATGTATTTGCTTTGTGTATGTTGGTTACTTAATAACACTTTCAATATCGAAATTTTTATAGTATCAGCTTATATATGGGGTGATAGGAAATGATGAATTGAAAAGGATTTGGAAGAAAGCAGTCATGGCATAATCAGGTACTGTCCTGGCATTTTCCCAGGGGACTGAGTGAAACTATGAAAACCATCAGTCATGATGGCTGGTGTCCTGAATGCAAACGTTAGAATGTTACCTCTAGACAAACCTGTTCAGTGTGATATGTCTGAGAAACCAGAAAGTGGTTTATTTATACTATTAGACTCTCAGGACATCATCTTAAACTGGACTGAACTCTTCCACTGGCAATAAGCTATACTTTCCATACTACCCTGCATTTGTTATGATAACAGCAGTGAAGCTGAGTGACTGTCAGAATGACCTGATGTAAGACACTACAATACATGGTACTGTGTCTTACAGACTACTCTCTGCAGCCACTGAGCTTCAACATAATCAATTTATACCACAGTAAAAATATGAAGTTTTCTGTATAACTGTTTAGAAGGTGAGGATGCTTGGTTAACCGATTCAGCCAAGGTTATTTAATAATACTTTATATATTTCAGAATTTATTTAGCATTGTATGAGATCACTGGCTTTCACCAGGAAAATCAAGAAGACCTCAGGATATGAACAAGAACTGAGCAGGTTATCTCTCTAATGCAAGTCAGCCCAATGCTTCAATTTGGAATCAAGAATGAGACAGCTGTAACTGCATGATGAGGCATTATTTTGGTTCAGTTTGGCAGTCCTACACACTGTGTGGGACTTCAGAGTAGACATAGTGTGCAACCACAGCAAAAGCAAATGGTGATCCTTGCATCACTCATTGCCAGTTTATACATTGTCATTTCCACCACCACCACCATCATCATTACACTGAGAAGATGATCACTCACCTACAATGATGGCTAATATTACCAAACCAATTACTCCCATAATGATCATCATCTGAAATATAAAGGGAACACTCATTAATAATTATCATTATTATTTATTATCATTCAACAATCCCTACATACAGGTATTACACCATTTGGATAAGAAAATTGTCAGTTTTACATCTAATTCTCGTGCATATCTTTACAGTATACACTGCACCAACCTAATATAGGGAGTTTGTCATCTGAATAACATTATCTAGATCTAGTTACCATTAATTTCATTGTCTTTACACAAATACAACAGATTAATCAGCTATACATTACATGTTAAAACATTGTAATCTTTAAAAATTTGTCTACATGATGTGCGACTATTAGCACCACTAATCACTCGAAGAACCCGCTTTTGCAATTTAAAAATGCTTTTACTTTCCCCATCCCCACCCCACAATTAGATACCATTTCTCATACGTGACTCAAAATTCGAAAAATAAATAATTTTTATCATATATAGACTCATTATTTCTTTTAATATTTTCACCATATAAATTACTTTGCATAGCTTTGCTTTTAGAAATTGAGCATAAGCGCACCATTTTAGGGTTTCTGTCATGTGAATTCCAAGAAATCTCAGTTCTGACTGATATACTATTTCTGTATTATTAAAAACTATTTGTGGTCCTAACGGATCTCTCCGCTGTTTTGAATGAAATGACATGGCAGATGTCTTTTTAGTATTTATTACAAGGTTATTTTTTTGAAACCATATTCTAATTCTTTCATAACGTTCATTATTTTATATTGAAGGTCAAGTTCATCTTTTCCAGTAATTAACAAATTGGTATCATCTGCATATAAAACCAGCTTTGCTCCTTGAACATTTTCTGTAAGATCATTTATGTAGAGTAAAAATCTGATCCCTGTGGTACACTATACTTCACTTTCCACTGAGGCATGATGTTAATCTAAAGCATATTTAAATATTCAGTTCCTACTATACACACACACACACACACACACACATACATACACTTCTTAGAAATGAAATCTCCATTTTGGAGACCAGCTGGTTATTGCTGTTTACAGAAATAATTGCTGTTTATTGTGGAAACCATAAGAAACACAGATTGCATAGCTTTTGAATGTTAAAGCAAGTGGTTCATGCACTATCCACTCTGCGTTAAAGGGTTCACCCTTCATCAGTGATGTCCATCCTGTAGTGAACATATAGATGTAATCTTGCCTGCTATCCTGTATGATTCTTTTACTTCTCCCCCATAAATATTTGAACTCAGCTGCATTTCCATACATACCTTAAGGTTCTGCAGCCAGAATTTCCTCTTGAGTTTGCCAGCTTGCTGCTCAAATTGTGAGGCCCCATGCTGCAGGGCATCTGAAACAGAATTAAACAACTAGGCTGTATTTATTTTGCACGTGACTACATGATCTTGATGCATGTCACCAAGAAAGTAATATCTTATTGTTTCAGACTTGTTCATGAACTTCCATGCACAACATATGAAGTTGTGTGTGTTCTGAGAAATCATTTACACATATCAAGTAATATATTTACTGAAAATGAATATGCTTAAGCAGAGAAATTGTTTCAATTGTATCTCTTTACTTTTCAAAATTTTCATGAAAATAATAAATTAATCATTAAAATAATATATTACACAAATTTTAAATGCACTCTGCTTAACCATTGAAAGCACAATGATAACTATATGTACAATCTGCTTTAACATTAAAAAACTCTGCATTTTGCCAACTCTGTATGTTTATAAGTCTCATGTGATTCTCACAGCAAACAGCTATTATTCCCTAAACAGCCTTAACTGGCTGGTTGTTGGTATGGAGACAGGCTGTGCTTCCTTTGAGGTAGGAACTGATTGCTTAAATATTATTTAGAAGAATTACAGGCTTCAGAGTGTCAACATGGAATTTAATTACTCACTTTCAAATTTAAAAAGCCCTAAGGTGACACATAGTGATTTGAATGTCTGTGATATTGATTGATGTTCCCACTTCAGCTTCATAAAAGTGGTTTTCCATAAGTAATATGTACATATTAAATCTTCAGAACTCCAGTTCATCTGAATAATATTTTGAAATTTAGATCCTATCTGACACAAACCATACCGCTTCTACATTGCAGAGACCTACAAGTTAATGCTCTTTACAGAAATAATGGCTGTTTATTGTGAGGATTATACAAAACACACAAATACAGTGAGTGGCAAAATGCAGATTTTCTGGATGTCAAATCAGCTGGTACATGCAGTAACTGCTTTATTTCAGAGGATTTAAGATGCAATGAACGTAAAGTCACAAGCAGTGCATTTGGCATGCCAATAATAAAAATTAGAGATGCTTTACAGCAGATCACTTCACCTGCTCGATCATCCAGTTCCGACAGCTTCTGGTCTCTCTCCAGGACTTTCTCCACATTTGTCTTCATTATTCCCACTACCTACAACAATAAAACACAAGAGATTAACTCAGCAGTACACCACTTATGCAACAACTGCAAAATGGAAAATTGTTAGAGCTCACTTCATCCACTTGTGCCTGGGTCTGCTGTAACCTCTTCTGGGCTGCAATCTGTTGTGGGGTTCTTGGCCCCCCCACAATGCCTCCATCTTCTCCAGGCTGAAGACCACCGGTACCAGGAGCAGAATCAGTAGCGCCGTCAGCAGACCTGTCAGTTTCCAGAAGAAGAGAACCTCATTCAAGTGATATCCTGCATTAAGTTAACCAACTCCACAGAGCACAGTCCTTCTTGGGAAACAGTAGTCACTCAGCTAGGCAAGACATTCCTATATTTTCCAGGAACCCAGATGTTCATTACCCTGAAGTGAAGTCTCTTCTGGAATGTGATGCCATGTAGCATGGTGGAAGTTTATTGGTGTTGCTCTAAAGTGCTGCTTATCTTCTACCAGACTCCATGGCGTCACATCCCAGGATATAGCATTCTTCATAGTCACTAGTGAGAGAACCACAGGTTTAATAATATTCATTAGATTGTTCACAGCAGCCTGCCACAGTCAAGATCTCTTCTGTTTAAAAGTATTTCGCTGCTTATCCTAGAGTAGTCAGGATAGAACCATATTGTTGTATTAATGTTTAGTACATTTCCTTCTTTCATCAATTTTTATTTCATTCCAAAAATCCAGGGGGAGAACAAATGCATAGCTTGTTCCTCCCACCAGTTCACATGCTTGGGAATATAAAAGTATTTAATCAATACCATTAACTCACTCACTCACTGAGGTGAGCCTTCTTGAGAAGCTGCCAACTGTGCAGCTACTCAAGAACTTCTCAGCATTTTATGGAACTTGAAGGTTCATTACCGTGTTCACAAAAGCCCTCCAGTAGTCCATCCTGAGCCAGATCAATCCAATCCATACCATCCCATCCTATCTCTTTGAGATCCATTTCAATATTGTCCACCCACCTACCCCTTGGTCTTCCCAGTGGTCTCCTTCCTTCTGCTTTCCCACCAATATCCTATATGCATTTCTTCCCCCCGTTCGTGCTACATGCCCTGCCCACCTCATCCTCCTTGACTTGATCATTCTATGCTTGGAGAAGAGTACAAGTTATCAAACTCCTCATTATGCAGTTTTCTCCAACCTCCTGAATACCATTAACTAACTGCATGGTGTAACTGGAGGAAGAAGTGACGGAGGTGCACATATTCAAAAACAAATAGACAGGCTTATGAAATAATAGAAGCAGGTAAAAAGTAAAAAAGTAAAGCCATCCCTGTGACAGGCCATGAAGGCCCATAGGGTTGTGAGACGCTGAGGCTCCCACATTATCTAGACAGTCAGCTCAAAGATGGCGGTAAGGTTGTCAGCCTTACGCGCCAGCCGCGGTTTACTCCCCAGGAAAATTATTTACCCCCAAGAACATTCAAAGAATAATCCTGGCAGGGGTGGCCTGTGTATAGGGACTGCGGAACTGCAGCGCCCCCAATTTCCACTTGATATTATCGATAACATTTATATAATGAGTCCTTTTTTCTTTAATTCTTTCTTTATACTTGTACAATACAATATATAATCCTTAAGCTTAATGTCAGTAGCCAAATCTTTGTATGGAACTGTGAGTTTCACAGTTCTAGCGGCGAGGTGTTGATTGACTGTGCGCATGCGCACACAGGAAGCTACACGCGAGGCTGCAAGGGAGAGGGAGCACTGCAGGAACGACAGTGCCGACCGGTGCCGACCCTGGCGTGCTGGTGGAAGGTAGTTTTTTTTACTCTGCATGTGTTGTGCTTAAAAAATATGAGTTAATTGTGGAATTAGATTATTATCCTGGTTCCAGCTATTTTATTTGATTCATTTTTTATTCGGTTTTTTTATTCAGAAAACTTTAACCATGGTCTTGCATCATCCC